ATTCAACCTGCCTCGTCCAACTATATGCAACTTGCATGTTAACTTGTAAATTTTCAACATATCTATATACACTTATTTCAAGAATTGTTGTCGTTGCCAGGACACAGTCCAAGGTCTTACACCTGCAAAGCATCTCGGGATTACCATACGTAATTAAATATTCACTTTCAGTTATTCAATAGTCTCATAGTCTCACCAAGATGTACTTCGCCTGGCATAGTGCAACGGTGATTATTTTGTTCCCCGTAATGTGCCAATACAAATGAATCATATCTAAACACCAATTTCAGCTAATTTCTACCTTGTATTTCTCACGAATGTCGCTTCATTGAAGCCATTGACGTTTTAAAACGAGAAACATTTAAAGAAAAATCTCTCATGGTGAGACTTGTTCGATGAATTTAATACCCGCAATAGTATATTAGTAGTGTTTGCCGCCATTTAGTTCAACCCACATGCATAGGCAAATATATTTTAAGATATGAATATAAAGACCGCATGCATGGCACTATGATAAACACGATATAGAAATGAAAGAAAGTTATAGTGCTTAGAAGGAGGCAATTCTGGGAGAAAGACCCTTAGGAATAAATTCGGAAAAATTAATTTCCGACGTCACTTGGATTCGAACCCACGACCTTCGAATTTGTACTACCCCTAAGGGTTTTTCTCCCAGAATTTCCTCCTTCTTAGCACTATAACTTTCTTACATTTTTATATCTATTCTATCATAGTGCCATGCGGTCCTCATATTCATATCTTTATATTTTGAATATATTAATTATGCATGGCAATCGTGTGATTCTTTGTAGGTTCAACACGGTGGACTCTTGTCCTGGCAATGTTTTTTGAAATTGCTAGGTGTATGTATGTCAATATAAAATATGATTCGAGGGAGTAATGCTATTTATCTTTAGGTACACAGCGAGTGACAGGGACGTTGATCAGTAAAGTAGGAGTTTATTTTGGAGATTAAGGGAGAGAGGGAGATGATCAGTCAAATTAAATATTAATCTTGCTAAACACCTGGTAACCCGATTTTTATGGAYTTAACAGCAAAAAATAAATCGGAGTTCCTGTGGCGAAATTTTGGTAAACTTTTTGGGCCTGGTGACCAACTGDTYATGTATACTGGGAAGGGTGCAAAAAATTCTAAATGTCTTCGGATTGTKTTGTGGCAGATAGASATGGAAGTAATGACTCTTCTTCTTTTTAGGAGACTTCAAAAAWTTATCTAGGGATCAGGGGGGAGCTCATATATACTTCCTGTGAAAGCCTTGATTGTCACCAGCCCAAGACTTATACCGAGTAATATTAGTGATTTATTTATTGAAAAGGGAAAGATGAACTGGAATGCAAAATGGAATTAGTTAGTAAATC